AGAACTCTCTGCCTTCCCTCTGTCTTTCTAGAAGGAGAATGTAAATTCCTCCTTGTGAAGGTGTCCCCCTCTCCCACATGAGAACAACCCTATCACCAAAGGCAGAGACAGCACTTAGGCAGATCTGTGTAAATAAATCTTGTTAAATGACCCTTATCTATTATGTTTCCTTATGTATTTGCCATCCCACAATGTACCAGGCAAGAAGCCCAGACCTCCTCTCCTTCCCTTTGTCTAGTCACTTACCCACAATTTATCACCTGTTGTTACAGTGGGTAATAAGTCCCCATGCTTTTTAGCTATTTATGTTTTTTGTTTTAACATCTGTGAAGCCCCCATGCACATTATAAAAAACTTAGCATCAGGACGGTGGTGCACTGGATAGGTGTGCGGTGCTCCCGCCCGAGGGTTCGGATCCCACATACAGACAAAAAAAGAAGAAGAAGAAGAAGAAATAGGGCCGGCCAGGTGGCGCACTGCTACAGTGCACCGCTTGAGAGTGCGGCGGCACTCCCGCCGAGGGTTCAGGTCCCACGTACAGACCGGCCGCTCACTGGCTGAGCGAGGTGCGGGCGCAACACCGAGGGNTTAGCTTTTCACTAATTGTACTTTGGAATGTCACATTGTTAGTTTTACTGATGTTACTAGTTTCCATTGTTTAAGTACACTTAGCCATAGATAACTTTTATAACACTGCCCATGTCCTTGTGTCCTTTTGTAATGATTGAATCAACTGATTTTCCTTGTGAAACTTGTCTTTACAATAAAAAACAGAAGCTAACTTTGAATGGCTGCCGTATCCAGTTTTCTCTGGGGTATGGACCTTTCCGGCTTCTCATCGCATTCATGGTGCTTTGAGTAATCCTTTTTTGGTCTCAGTTACACAGTGAGAAGTGTAACAAAGAAGGCCCTCACCAGATGGGCTCTCTAGACCATGGACTTCCCAGCTTCCCAAACTGTAAGAAATAAATTATATTTCTCTGTAAATTATTAATAAAATGTATTAAATACAGTTTCAGGGATTCTGTTATAAGCAACAGAAAATGGACTAATATACCAATCCTCATCCCTCCCCTTTGATGTTTAAGTCTGTGTTCTGTCCTTCACAAGAATCCTGTTTGGTGAGTTTAGCAAGAAGCCCCCTACCCTTGATGTCCCCTCTCAGTGATGTCCCACGCACTTACCGCCTCACTGTGTTCGTTGGCTATGAACCCCCTGCGGACCCTGCTATATTCAGAACCGAGCTCAGTCCTACACGGTGGCCTCTGTCCCCTATTGCAGTAGACCCACGTGACATCTGC